GATTAGAAAAAAAAAGAAAAACAAACTGCTAAAAAAAAAAAAGTAAGGGCAGAGGTAAGGAGAAGCCTTAGTTCTAGTCATTTTTATTACTATGTTTCTGCAAAGCTGTTGGGCTCTCTGACCAAAAGAGTCACGTCTTATGGCAAGTCTCCCTTTGGGCAAAAACTCAAGCCCCTTAAACGAAACCTCCTTTCCCCATTAGCTAAACCTTCTTGGTTTTATTACCTGGAGGGGACCGTGCCCTTTCACCGGACAGGTTGTCTTCGAGTGGAAAGAACAAGGTGTCAGAAGACCCTGTAAGATCAAGAAAAGCCCAGTTCACTTTGAGTCCATTCCAACTGAAGGCGCCCCCTGTATGTCAGAGGAGGGCTGTGCTCCATAGGGTCTCAAAGCCTGTGCCTGGGGAAGCAGATTGCCAGGTCTGGTTCCCCCAAGGCACTCTAGGTGGACTTGAACATCCAAACTCTGAGACAGCAGTGGAGCACATTAACCAGTTGTACCATCCAAGGATTCTGTGATACAAGGAAGTATATGTAAAATGATCCCATGTACCAAGTGAGTACATGTAGTTGGTGTAGCGTAAAACCCCAGTGATGCTGTGATTTCCTGCTCCTAGACCGGCCTGGCCCACCTCAACTTGTGAAGATCGAAGATGTCTGGGGAGAGAATGTTGCTCTCACCTGGACACCACCGAAGGATGATGGGAACGCTGCCATCACCGGATATACCATCCAGAAGGCGGACAAGAAGAGCATGGTAAGTGAGGCCTGGCTTCCTCTGGCCCGGGGCAGCAGCACAATGCTTTGTTTCCAAATAAGGAAAATCTCATTTTGTCAGAGCAAAGGGGAGGCATGAGTCTTCTCTGGGAGGAAACCACAGCGCCTTGGAGCAGAAGTGTGTCAGACCTCTAAAAAGGGCAAGGCCTGAGGTGTCACAGAAAGTTGCGTTTTACAGGATAGCACCGATGAAACATACAACTTTCCTCTAGTTCTTTAATGCCTGCCCCCCATCATGACCCCAATTCTACCTTACAAATCCGGCTAG